ATTTATTTAGGGTGGATTTTATTACGCTGCTATTGCACGCCTCGTTTTTGTACATCACGCAACATTTTGCGTTAATTCCGTAGCGCATTACCTTGGTGATAAACCGTTTGATGATCGTCACACTCCACGCGACCATTTTATTACTGCAATTCTAAGTTTGGGCGAAGGTTATCATAATTTTCATCATGAATTTCCAATGGATTATAGAAATGCCATAAAATTTTATCAGTATGACCCAACAAAGTGGTTGATTAGATTCCTTTCGTATTTTGGATTCACACGTCATTTGAAGACATTTCCTGATAACGAAATAAAGAAGGGTCAAATAATTATGAAACAAAAAAAATTAGATGAAGAAAAAATGAAATTGAATTGGGGTGTTCCATTAGATCAATTACCTATTTATACTTTTGATGAATGTAAGTTAAATTCTAAAAATTTCTTTTATTATTTATTTATTTATTATTTATTTTATTTATCTATTTATTTATAGTTTTAGAAAATGCTATTTCAAATAATTTGATTTGTATTGAAGGCATAATTTATGATGTCAGTAGTTTTATGGATGAACATCCTGGTGGTAAAACACTTATCGTTACTTCCTTGGGAAAGGATATGACCACTGCATTTAATGGTGGTGTTTATGACCATTCGAATGCTGCTAGGAATTTGATGTCTTCTTTTCGTGTTGGTGTTATTTCGGGTGGTGGTGAAGTTGAATCTCGTAAGAAAAAACAATAATTCTTTGTTATCTGAAAGATAGTAATTATCATTTTGGAATTTTTGAATACCAAAGTGAGTTAATTGGGTGTCCACGTGACATGTTTAAAATTGTCCACGTGATTGCATTTGCATCAAAAATTTTTCTTTTTGTACATACGTATATTAATTCACAAGAATATTTGCAAGATTTCAATAAACAAAATCATAACTATGTATAGTATTCTTGTGTTCCCAATTTTAATTAAATTTAATTATTCACAAAGAATATTTTAAAGATTACGCGATAATGATAATCAGATGTCTAAATTATTGTATGACCGGCGTGTGATGTCTTGTAGTATTAATAGATTAAGATCTAATTGGGTCTAATTAAAGTAATGATGTTTAAAACAGTGCCTACTCCGTGTAACTTCCCGAGGATCGTATATACAACCTTAAAATTTTTCACAAACATGAACACAGTTGTTCCAAGCACCTCCCTCTATGGTTAATGAAATGGTCCGATTGGTTAAAAAAATGGATTGTGTTTAATCAATTCAATCAAAAAAACTCCATCTTTTTTTTTCATAGAGTCACTCTGATTGGTTAAAATTAAACTCCGCACTTGCACAATAAATTAATAAAGATCATTTCAATTAATCGAAATGATTGAGCAACATCTCGATCACTAACAAATTTCATTGAGGGAGCCGCCTATATCTACTTTTTAAAAATTTCGAGTAATATTTATAAAGACTATTAAATAAGATACTGTGTTTTAAAATCTATATTAATTATTTTGGTTGATTTGATTGGCTGATGTCATGGTTTGATCAACGTAATTGCTGACTCAGGATAACCAATCATTTAACTGTCCCTGCTGTTCTAATCAAATCGAAAATGGTTTACCGACATCCATTTCCCCAACAACTATGTTCTTGATGATTATTTACCCAACAACCACTTTCCCAATAACTATTTTCCTGACGATTATTTCCCCAACAATCAGTCATATTGGGAAATGGTCATGTCGGGGAAATAATCGTCAAGAAAATAGTTGTTAGGGAAGTGGTTGTTGGGTAAATAATCATCAGGAAAATAGTTTTTGGAGAAGTGGTTGCTATGCTTAACAAAAATTTTATGCAAATATATAAAGAATAGTAGAAAGATCCGTAGGATTTCACTCTCATGTGGGGTCTTGAAAATCACCTTCCGACATTTCCGATCGGGTTAATTCGGACAAAATCAAACCCGTCATGTTTATATGTAAATCCCTTTTTGTATTAATAGATTCAATCAATAAAGGCAAAGGGGGTTTGCATATAAACATTAAACCTAGGTGCCGCACAAAAAATGCGCGGATGATCCTCGATTTTGATTGGCTAACGGCCGGTGATCTTCG